CTACCCTCCACGCCCGGGTGGATTCATGAACCTTTTCGTTTTTTAAAAAATATGTTTTACGGGACCTGTATGAGAACATCCAAGTAAGCTTGAAATGTACAGATAAACAAGCAAATGCCATCTGTTCGGTTGTTGCCACCTGTTTAACATACTAAATTACTACGATACTTGTAGCTCCAGAATCACCAGTAGCGTCTTGCCCTTCAAAGTTCAAACGAGAAAAACCGGATTTGTTCCTCGTCATCACCATTACGACTATTGTTATACGTCAAACATTTGATGAGTTGTCCTCCAGTAACCTACCGATGCTGACCTTTGAAGGTGCTACCAACTGGTTACCATCGGTGTTCCTCCAAATGTCCGTCGGGCCCTGTTCCTAAATGTCATCTGGGTTTAAAATCTCGCAGAGCTTGTTTGATTATGCAGAAACTGTTTGTTTTTCGAGCTGGTGCTGGTTTTCCAGTGGTAAATGGGGTGACATTTGGGGTTTTGGAAGCCATTTGATACCTCACATAAACAGACATCCGTTCGGAATGTCAACGGATGCCTCTAGAATTGCATTATAGTCCGAAGCAGCGTCAGTACGTGATGGTGTAAGGGATGGGAAACATTGTCTGGCTGAAGCTGTAACCATCATAAATTCTGAGCGTACAAACTAATTGATATTTAGTGGCTTTGATTAGAATTTTTCATTTATTAGGTTGAGTAATAAGTCCTCTGACAAAGTGATAGCGATGACTTCTAGAGGTCATAACTTGGGAAAGAGGAGACGAAAATGGACGCTCCTGGTATTGTTAGATAGAGTATGAAAAGTTCTTCAAAATACATGCTAACGAACACCTAACTGTTTCCTTTCCTGCAACCATGCCCATGATTTCAAGCCGTCGCAACTCCACCTCCGCAACACCATCGTATTTCTTTTTTTATCTAGCCAAGAACCCGCGGAGATCGATAGACGTATTAAGGAAGCTTACAAGAGGGGTGCTCCTGCTAGATGTGCAATTTACAAGTGGCACACGAAGTTCACGTCGGGCGACTATTCCATCGAAAATGAAGACCGTCCTAGACGCTCAATGGAGTTGGATTTGGACGTGCTGCGAAGCCAGGTGGAAGCCGATCCGTATCAAACTACTCGTAAACTGGCAGTCACCCTTGGAGAGCCAGTTCACAATCATTCGTGGATTGAATGCAATCGGCAACGTACGAAAGCTCAGTCGATAACTATCTCATGCTTTGAAGCAGTATGACATAGACCGCGCGCCCACATAGCATTTTCTCTCCTCTCGCTCATACGCAGGAAATGGTCAGGGGTATTACTTAATATGTATTCAAAAGAGCTTTTCATACTCTATTTAAGGATGCCTCGCGCGTACATTTTCGTCACCTCTTTCCCGAGTTATAACCTCTAAAAGTCGTCACTATCACGTTGTCCGAGGACCTATGACTCAACCTAATAGATTCCGGTGCGCTTACGAACGAGCAACGCACGACATCTCTTACGGATTCCTGGAAATTCTTATTTGACAGAGTGACTGCCTTGCGCACATAGTAAAGGGATGAGTCCGAGTCGTCTTTCGACGATATCAGGGACTGTCCCTCCCCTTTTCTCCGCCACTCTGAGCTCCTTAGCCACCTTCTTCCAGCTCTGTTTAGGATTCCAATGCATTACGCTTTTGATGGCAGCAACAAGCTCATTGGTCGCAATAGTCATCGATCTTCCTTTCCGAGGACGGCCATTGAGAGAATCTATCTCGTGAAAACTTCAAATAACACGAGTGACCGTCGAGTCGTGCACCCTGAGGGTGCGCTCCATCACGACAGGCGCCCTTCAACGGGAGTGCAATTTCACAGTGGAAGCACGGGGCGGAAGACCTTATCGTTGCTCTCAAACTTAGTGGATGCGTACGAAAATTCAAAGGATGGTAGCAAGATCTCACTTGCCTAGGCTCTGAGTTTAACCTGTTGTAATTATGCGAATAAATAAATCAAATGTTTAAAGGGAAAACAAACTCTGGAGAATACATGTGGAAGAAGAGGATAGGGTTGTAGGGAGAGTCGTTACTTCTACAGGATGCGGCAAAAGTTGTGGCAACGCTAAATATGTCCGTAAGTGTCAAATTGATCGATACATGATGCAACTTCAACAGCATTTAGCAACAGCTACGTAGATTACGAAAACAAACTAGATCTCAAAATAGCCCCCTTTTGCGCGAATACAGGCTGAAAGTCTCGTAGGAAACGCGTCGACCACGGCACGGAGGTAGTCTTCGTCCAAATCCTCCCATGCTTTAACGAGGATTGCACGTGAAGCATCCAAACTTTCGCTGGGTAGAGCAGGATTCCCTCTTGAAAACTGACCCCATGGAGTAGTTCAATGGATATAGGTGTGGACTGTTTGGGGACCAATCCTTCGACGAGATGAAGTCTGGGAACAGCCTACCCCACCAGTCCTGTACCACCTTGGACCTGTGTGCTGGAGCTGAGTCCTGTTGATAAGTCCAAGTCCGGTTGCCGAAGTGGGATTGTGCCCACGGTAGTACCTCCTTCTCCAACGTGCATTTTAAGTAGTTCTTGCTATCCACTTTGTCCCCTTTCTCCAAGAAAATCAGGGGCATCTTGCCGTCCGATGTGATTGCCCCAAAAACCATCAACGACTTGGAGTGTCCACATCGCTGAGCAATCCCTCCATGTTGGCTGGCTTCTGCAGGGCTCCCCGCTACCATCCTATCGTTCTGGGTGATCAGGAATTGATCTGTTGAAAACAGACACTCGTCAGTGAAAAGGATGTTGGTGTGCCGTGCCTGCGAAAATCGCTTTAGAAGCTTCTTACATCTTTCGAGCCTAGTTTTCTTCATAGCATCTGCTTTCTTCTGTTAGCATGTGAGCTTTCCTGATCTTATAAGAACGATGTCGAAGGTTTCAGGATTCGGATTTTCTCTCGAGTAATTTTCACGATCTTAAGGGAATCTGGAGCTGCTTGGAGATGGTTTTTGTAGTGCATGCAGCCAGATGGAGGTGCAGGATGAAGGCTCGTTGGACTTTGCTTGTCACCATTCTGTTAAATGCCTTCTTCAAAAAAGTCCAACTCATGGAATGTATAGAAGAAGACTTGCAGAAAATGGTAGCACAGATCCTGCCTAGATTGAGAGCTTCATTCCTTATGGAAGACCTGAAACGAGCATTTGCCAGAACTTTTGCCGCGCCCTGTAGATCAGCTTTGATGGCTGTAGAGCAATCAAGCGATTTTTTCATGATCACATGGTGCAGCTTGTCACAATTACTGAGAAACTGTTGGAGATCGCTTCTTTTCACATTAAAAATTCTATACTATTTTGATGGGGTGATTGATGCAGCACCTAATATGGAACAGACACTGAAACTGACTCCTTCTGTGTTCTGGGCGGACCGAGCTTTCTTCTGCACTTTCGAGTTTGTAAGCTCTGATGCTTTCCCAGTTTCTATGAATCCGGACAAAACCGAGCGTACTTCAAGCCAAGGTGATTGNTGATTGCCTGCAGATGTGCGTCGAAATCTTTCCAAACTGCACCTTCGTTGGTATACAAGAAATGAAGGCTGAAACAGTGAGTTTTTTTTTCAAAAAGTGGTTGAGAAGAAGCCCATACCTTTCTTACAGTCTGAATTGAGCGCAGTGTCGGAGTTTTAAGGCACACTCTCTATACAGCATACGTGTTATTGATATAACCGCGTTTCCCTTCTTATTTTTTTCTCTAATTTTTTCTGTTTTTTAAGGTCGAAGACTTTCTTCTCCCCCGGGAAACTGTCAATCCATATAGGTTTCCATCGAGTTTCAGTCGAAAGAGATTTTTTGCAATTAGTTTCCCATAATAATTCACCCTGAGATGATACTACTGCGAAAGGAATTTTCTGAAATCGTTCAAAATGTTAGTTAGTTATGTAGTTAAAGTTATGAATTACCGGAAAAATTGGGAGGAAACGAACTCCAGTAGGGATCTACATAGGGTTTTCTGTAATCCTTATGGTAACTTTTTCAGTACCTATGCCTCATCTTCTACGACAAAGCTAAGCCCTACATGAACGTGAACCTTATGGACTACCATGACACGACCTTCTACAGATTGGAAAAAGGTGTCAATCGTGTTGAATGCCCATTGGCGAAAAATGTGTTTCCGTCTGATCAGCAGCGGGTAAACACAATCGCAACGTACGACTATATGGGTGATGTATAATGATGGCTTCCTTCAACATTTTATGTCGTTGAATAATTCTGTATTTGCAGTGGTATAAAATCCCATGCAGACTTTTTAAAACAAAATCTCACACTGAGCGTCCTCCCACTGAATAACGTGTTTCTCTCGACTCTAAAAAACAATGTTACGTAACGGAGAAAATAAGTCTTCGCATCAGCGCAAGAATTTTACTCAGCTTTAGTCCATTGCTACGTTTAATGTTCGATGTTTGTGTTCAAACACAATCAATGGAAGAGTTGGGTCAGAAAGTTGATGAGTTGGTTTGGAATAGTCGGGTAACGGAACTTCTCCCCTATCGCGGCATTCTCCCTTGCGGCATGCGGCAAATGTCACTGCAATTACCGTACTCACCCCGCCTCCCGAAAATCGATAGGACGCGATATTTTTCCTTGACTGGCTTGCTTTTTCATTGGATTTTATCGTTTTTTCTTTTGTTTCTTTTTAGTTTTCATGTTTATTGGGCTTGATTAATTAAAATGACTCCTCCTATGCAAGCGGCGGTCAAGACTGCATTGAAATTGAAGAAAGCGGTCAGCCAATTCAAGTAATTAAAG